GTTTGGTTTCGGCGTTCAACCACACCATTCTGTTGTGGCGTATATGGTGCGGTTAAATACCTATTTATACCTTCTTCATTGCAAAGTTGTTCAAAGTTGGTGGAGACAAACTCACCTCCACGATCAGTTCTCAATGCTTTCACCTTGTAACCACTATCCAATTCAACTGACTTCTTGAACTTGTTGAATGCCTCACATGCTTGGCCTTTGAACTTGATAACATATACCCACATAAATCTGCTGAAATCATCAACTAGCAATAAAAAGTACCTGTTGCCACATGGTGTACTCGGTGTAATAGGACCACACAGATCAGCATGTATCAGTTCAAGGGGCTGCTGTGCTCGATAAGAAATTTGGGATGGGAATGGAAGACGTCATTGCTTCCCAACGAGACAAGCTTCACACAATTGTGACTTGTGATTTATGTTTGGCACACCAATCACCAATTTTTCTTTTGATAACTTCCTTATAGCATCAAAGTTTAAGTGTCCAAGGCGTGCATGCCAAATCCAGGCTGCCTCGTCCATTTTTGCAAGTAAACATGTTGGTTGAACTATATGAAGATGTACCTTATATAGTCGGTTTGGAGACCTTATATAGTGGTCACCATTCTTACATTGCAAAAGAATAGATCCTCTGCCTTTGATTTCAACTGTTGAACCATCTCCAAACTTCACACGACCCACTATCTTTTCATCGAGGTTGCTAAAATAACCCCGTTCCCCGGTCATGTGATTGCTAGCACCATTATCTAAATACCACGTGCCTTCCTCGCTGCTCTCTTTGGCATATTCACAAGGAAACACTCTCTCCTCATTCAGCATCACCACATCTTGTACATTCTTTACCATTAGCAAAGTGGGTTCATCCTCATCCTTTGCTAGATTAACTTCATCATCGGTTCTTCTAGGAGCCCGACACTCGGCGGAGAAATGGCCAAGCTTATCACAATTATAACACCGCAGGTTCCTTCGGTCACGTTTACCACGTTGTTCAT